TCCTCTTCCGATCATCTACACAGCTTCTCAAGCCCGTGTAAACACATGCGAACCTGACTACAATGGCGACATGGTTTGATTAAGAACAACCTGAAATTATTTAGGCACGACATATATTTTGTTCGTTTCTCTTTTCTTCCCTCCTTTGTTATGATTTTCTGTTAGAGCAAGTTACCAGTTTCTCATGGAACTGCTAATTCGTAAGATTTCGAGGATATTAGATTAGGGCATTCAACCTGCTAAACATTTAACTTTTTATTTAGGTTAATATGGTGCCGTGGTGTTCAAACTTGTCAACTCTATTCTATCACCATGATTCTGTAACCTCTATTTCTCGTAAACTTCCATCAAATATAGAAGAAGAGAAAAAAGAGGGTGCAAGTACTGAATCAAAACTAGGCCAAGCTGGTGTCATGAGTCGTGTAACAATTTCTTGGATCAACCCAGTATTGAAGTTAGGTTATTCAAAACCACTGGTTCTTGAAGATATTCCCACACTCCTGGCTGAGGATGAATCCCAGGTAGCATATAAGAGATTCTCATACATATGGGGTTCTCTCAGTAGAGACTTCAACTCTAGTAATGCCAAAAACTTGCTTCTCCGAACCTTAGCTATAACTCAATGGAGAGAAAACTTATTTGTAGGTGTTTGTGCCTTGGTTAGGACAATTGCTGCCGTGGTATTGCCCTTATTTCTCTATGCCTTTGTGCAATACATAAAAAATGAGAGCAAAATCGCATCTAAAGGTTTGGTTCTTGTGGGATGCTTAGCAGTGATCAAGTTTATGGAGTCTTTATCCCAAAGGCACTGTTACTTCAACGCAAGGAGGTCTGGTTTGAGAATGAGATCAGCCATTATGGTAGCAATCTACCAAAAGCAGCTGATACTATCTACTTTAGGAAGGAAAAGGCACTCAACAGGTGAGATTATGAACTACATCGCATTTGATGCTTATCGGATGGGGGATACGTTGTGGTGGTTCCACAGGGCATGGAGTCTTGTTTTGCAGCTGTTTCTTTCAATTGGCATTATTTTCAAGGTTGTTGGTCTTGCTGCGCTACCTGGTCTAGTTCCCATCCTACTTGTCATCATTCTTGACATTCCCTTTGCTAAACTACATAAGAAGCATCAGTCCCAGTTCATGGTTGCACAAGAGGAACGACTGAGGGCCACCATGGAAGTTTTGAACAACATGAAAACCATCAAGTTGCAATCATGGGAAGATAAATTCAAAAGCAGGGTTGATTTTCTGAGAGGCACAGAATACAAATACTTGGCTAAAATGCAAGCTAAAAGGCCCTACACCACAGTTCTGTATTGGATGTCACCAACTATTGTCTCTGCAGTTGTCTTCATTGGATGTGTACTAATAAAAGGCACCCCATTGAACGCTGCGACAATATTCACAGTATTAGCAACTTTACGAGGTATGTCAGAGCCTATGAGGTGGATCCCCGAGTCACTTTCCTTCCTAATTCAAGCCAAGGTTTCAGTAGATCGCCTCAACACATTTTTGCTTGAAGATGAGCTCAACGTGGAGGAAATGCAAGTTTCATCAAAGAATTTAGACAAGAGCTCAAACAAATGTATTGAAATACAAGGAGGTAACTTTAGCTGGGAGCCGGAATCTGCTGTTCTAGCACTAAAAGATATCAACTTGGAGGTTAAAAGGGGGCAGAAAATTGCAATTTGTGGTCCAGTTGGTTCTGGTAAAACATCACTCCTATACGCTATTCTCAGAGAAATACCAAAAATAACCGGTTCAGTAAGTGTAAAAAACACCATGCTAACACTATGTACTTCATAGGAGATTCTAATGTCCTTTTCTTTCATTTTGATCGTGTGTTGTATTGTAGGTAAATGTGTTTGGATCCATTGCCTATGTTTCACAAGCACCTTGGATTCGGAGTGGAACCATTCGTGACAACATACTATGTGGAGAGCCAATGGATAGAACTAGATATGACATGGTTACAAAAGCATGTGCTTTAGATAAGGATATTAGCAGTTTCAACCATGGCGATCTCACGGAAATCGGTCAAAGAGGGAATAATTTGAGTGGTGGACAGAAACAGAGAATTCAACTTGCAAGGGCAGTCTACATAGATGCTGATATCTATATTCTCGATGACTCTTTAAGTGCAGTGGATGTCCATACAGCTGCAGTCCTTTCCAAAGTAAGAAGATAAATGTCATACTTTCTTAGAAGGCTAGAACCCGATATAAGCAAGAGTTTTGCTTTCACTGTGAATTATTATTGTATTAAGGAAACGATGCACTACACCTATCCTTTTAAGTTTTTGGATATTATGGGTCGTTATGGTAACAACAATAGGTTACTTACTTCCAAAGGTTTTAATTACAGAAATGTATATCGGCTGCTCTCAAAGACAAAACTGTTATTTTCGTGACGCATCACCTTGAGTTCCTCACAGAAGCTGACAAGATTCTGGTAATAGCTGTATTGTTATCATCATTTTAATTTGATGTTAGTAGTTTTAATTATGATGAAGACTCATCGTGAATTTCCTTCCAGGTTATGGAAGGTGGACAGATAATGCAGTCAGGAAGTTTTGAGGAATTGCTATCTGCTGGGACATCATTTGAACAGCTTGTGAATGCAGTCTCTGACTTGGTCTCTTCAGAACATGGAAAAAAAACTGAAACTCCAAACTCTAATGTAGATCAGTTCGAGGAGTCCAACGAGTGTTTCCCCTCTGAAGAAAACAATGATAGGGAGATTTTGGCATGTGACCAGTTAACAAAAGAAGAAGAGAGGGAGATCTTGGCAGGTGACCGGCTGACAAAAGTAGAGGAGAGGGAGATTGGCAAATTTGGGTTTAAACCACTTTTAGACTATCTTCGTGTATCCAAGGGCTCCCTTCTGTTCGGCTCAGTCATACTGTCCCGGATTGCCTTCTCCCTTTTTCAGGCTTGTGCAAGTTATTGGCTGGCACTAGCAATTCGAAATCCTAAAGTTTCCAACGGAATCTTAGTTGGAGTTTACACAGGAATTTCAATATCCAGTTGTCCTTTCGTATTTTTAAGGTCTTTATTAGGCGTCCTATTAGGATTGAATGCTTCAAAAGCGTTCTTCTCAGGTATCAATAAGTCATTGTTCGAAGCTCCCATGCATTTCTTTGACACAACTCCGGTTGGAAGGATATATACTCGGGTAAATAAGACCTCTATATAAGTTAGTGAGCTGCTGAAGTTTCTGTTGCTACTATTTATTTCATCATTTTCTGCTTTTGTTTGGGGTTTAGAGGACACACTTCTTGAAATACTAGACCTAGTGGCATGCATCTAAACTAAACATATTAGTAGAGACAAAAATTATCCCACCTTCATTATATACAAATGAGAATACCTAATTTTTCACTTGACATATAATGAAAACTTAATTGGTGGCATAAATCATGACATGATTTATATCCCATGTCTCCCCATCTTTATCTATAAATAGACACACTAAAGAGCTGAGGTCTAGAGTGAAAACACAAAGTGAAAAACAAGAGAGAAACAACAGTAGAAAGAGCTTGAGTGTAGAGTTGAGTTGAGAAGAGTTTTTTCTCCTCCTTTTTGTTTGTATTATTTCTTTGAGTGATTAATACAAACCAGTAGCTTCGTGAAGTAGGCAAGTTGCCGAACCACATAAATTTATGTGTGTTTAATTGCTTCAGTGAACTAACAACTAGTATTAGAGCTTGTTCTTGAAAAAAAAGGTGTTTGATCCAAACTCAAAAATCAAAGTTCTCAAAATGTGTTTTTGAACATACCATTGTGTAAAGAAAAATGAGACGAATCCACTGGTGAAAACCCGGTGAAGAATCGATATTCTACATGCCCGCACGCGCCAATACGGGTTAACTACAATACTGTCTACGTGCATCAACGCGCCACACGCACTCCACGCGTCTTCTTCGCCCGAATATCTGCAACTAAACCGGGTTGACCCGACACATCAACAGATAATTAACAGCTACAACATCAATTTTGCACAGTTAGCTGACACGACACCTGTCCACGTTAACAAAGACACGTCATACAGAAATCCACGTGGATTTGACACATCATCATATATGGGCTTATTTTGCTTACGTGTTTGACATGTCAACATACTGGGTTTTGATCTTATGCGACGCAACCAATATTCCTCCTGACACGTGGCTTTATTTGTAGCATCCAGTGTTCCAAAAGTTTGATTGATAAGATCTGAGCCATCCAAAGTCTAATTTGGGTGATTTCAGTGTCGTTTCCAATATTTTTGGCCATTTTAGACACATCAGTAAGGTCAGATTTGACAGATTCAAATCCAAGACATATTAAAAATGGAAGATGAAATAAAGGCTGCGAGAATTGAAAAATTTGATGGAATAGATTTTGGATATTGAAAAATATAAATTGAAGACTATCTATATAGGAAGAAACTCCATCTTCCTCTATTGCGGAGCAGACCAGAAAATATGCTAGAAGAAGATTGATAAATTCTTGATAGACAAGTTTTGGGCATTATGTTGGAATTGTGGCAAACCTGGTCATTTCATGAGGAGTTGCACAAAATCGAAAAAACCTAAAGCTAACTTTACAAACACTACTATAGATGAGGTACAAAATGCTTTGATTCTTGCTGTATAAAGTCCAATTGATGACTGGAACCTTGATTCTGGTGCTTCATTCCACTGTACACCACATCATGAAATGATGCAAAACTATGTTGCTAGAGATCACGGTGTAGTCTATTTAGCCGATGGACAACCAATGGATATTGTGGGTATAAGAGATGTGCAAATCAAGATAATGAATGGATCTATATGGAACTTGTAAAATGTAAGGCATGTTCTTGGACTAAAGAAGAAGTTGATCTCAGTCAGACAACTTGATGATAGTGGTCATTCAATCCTTTTTTCTAGAGGTATGTGGAAGGTATCAAAGGGAGCAATGATTTTGGCTCGTGGAAAGAAAATCGGTACCCTGTATATGACCACAAGATCTGCAAACATTATTGCCTCTACTGAAATAGAAAATCAGGCACAGCTATGGCACTGTAGACTTGGCCATATGAGTCAAAAGGGGATGAAGATACTTCAGTCAAAGGAAAAGCTGCCAGAGTTAAAAACATCTTGATCTAGATATTTGTGAAAGCTGTGTTCTTGGAAAACAGAAGAAGCTCAGTTTCTTAAAGGCTGACAGGACCTTAAGATCAAGAAAGCTAGAACTAGTACATATAGATTTATGGGGATCGTCTCCAATAGCATCTTTTGAAGGTTCTCGGTATTATGTGACTTTTATTGATGACTTTAGCAGAAAGATATGGTTCTACTTTTTGAAAAATAAATTTGATGTGTTTGAAACATTCAAGAAATGAAAGGCTATGGTTGAGACTAAATCAGGTCTGAAGTTGAAATGCTTAAGTTCTGATAATGAAGGAAAATACATTGATGAAGGTTTTAAAGAGTACTGCGCTGTCAAAAGTATCAGAATGGAAAAGATTGTTCTAGGCATGCCACAATAGAATGACATTACTGAACGGATAAACAGGACCATCAATGAATGAGCTAGAAGCATGAGGTTGCATTCTGAGTTACCTCAAATATTTTGGGTTAATGCAGTTCATGCTGCAATTTACTTGATCAACCGTGGACCATTAGTTCCTTTAAAGTTTAGATTGTACGAGGAAGTATGGAGAGGAAAAGAAGTACAACTCTCTCATTTAAAGGTCTGTAGGTGTGTTTTCTATGTGCATATAGATTCTGATGCTCGCAACAAGCTAGATGCCAAATCCAAGAAATGTTTCTTCATTGGCTATAGAGATGAAGAATTTGGATTCAATTTTAGGATGATCAGAATAGAAAGATTATCAAAAGCAGGAACGTGATCTTCAATGAGAAAGTTTTGTATAAAGACAGATCAAGTGTAGAAACAGATATGGCTGATTCAGATACAAGTCCACAAAAATCTAAATTCATAAGATTAGAAGGGCTTTCTGATATTACCGAGCAAAACAAAAATCAAGAATATTTACAAGAAGATTCAAGCACATATGTATCCACTACTACACAAGAAGATGTGGAGCCAGGTAAACCAACTATTCGCAAGTCTTTAAGGACTGTAAAGCCCCTACAATGGTTCACACTTCTACTAAATTATATTTTACTAATAGATGGTGGTGAATTACTAATTTATGAATAATCCTTATAAGATGGAAACTCGAGCAAGTGCGAGTTAGCCATAAAGGACGAGATGTAGTCGTTGTTAAAGAACAAGACTTGGGAGCTAACTACACTACCTAAAGGAAATAAGGCTTGCAAAACAAGTGGGTTTACAGAGTAAACATTGAGCATGACGGAAGTAAATGGTTTAAAGAAAAACTTGTTGTAAAAGGGTTTCAACAAAAAAAAAAAGGATTGACTAATCTAAGATATTTTCTCTAGTTGTGAAGCTCACAACAATCAGAGTTGTTCTGAGGATAGTAGCTGCAGAAAATTTATATCTTGAACAATTAGATGTAAAAACAATATTTTTTTATGGTAAATTAGAGGAAGACATTTACATGCAACAACTAGAGGAGTTTGCAATACAAGGAAAGGAGAACCAAGTCTGCAAGCTAAAGAAAAGCCTACATGGTTTAAAGTAAGCTCCAAGACAGTGGTATGAGAAGTTTGACAACTTCATGTGTATTTCAGCATACACAAGATGCCAAGCTAATCATTGTTGCTATGTCAAATATTTTGACAACTCCTATATCATTCTACTATTATATGTGGATGATATGTTAATTGTAGGATCTAGTATGGAAGAGATTGACAAGTTAAAACAACGGTTATCAAAATAGTTTGAAATAGAGGATCTGGGAGCTGCTAAACAAATATTTGGCATGAGAATCATCAGAGATAAAGACAAAGACATACTAAAACTTTTATAAACAGAGTATGTCAAGAAGGTTTTTAGCAGGTTTAGTATAGATAATGCTAAACCAGTAAGTACACCCCTGGAGAATCATTTCAAGCTTAGCAAAGACCAATCATAAAAAACTGAGCTAGAATATGGATATATGGATAAGATTCCATACGCCTCAACTATCGGCTTTTTGATATATACTATAGTCTGTACCAGACTAGACATTGGCCATGTAGTAGGAGTTGTAAACCGATATATAAGCAATCCTGGAAAGCAGTATTGGGAGGCGGTGAAATGGATTATGAAGTACTTAAAAGGTTTATCGGAGACATGTCTTACCTTCACAGCTAGTAGTTTGAAACTTGAAGGTTTTCTAGACGTTGATCTAGTAGGAGATGTTGATAGCAGAAAGAGTATTAAAGGATATATATACATTCTAGAAGGCACTGCTGTTTCTTGGAGTTCTACCTTGCAAAAGATAGTAACTCTTTCAACGACAGAAGCTGAATATGTTGCAGTCTCAGAATCTGTAAAAAAAATAGTATGGCTACAGAATTTTCTGAAAGAATTGGGCAAGATGAATAGAAAGGGTACTTTGTATATCGATAGTTAGAGTGCAATCTTCCTTGCCAAGAATCCAGCATTTCACTTTAGGACTAAACATATTCAGATCAAATATCACTTTATCTGACAATTGCTAGATGATAAATAACCACAACTAGAAAAGATCTGTGGAAGCAAGAATCCTGCTACTAGAAAAGATTTGTGGAAGTAAGAATCCTACTAACACGTTAACCAAATGAGTTATACTTGATAAACTGAAGTTGTGTAAAACTTCAATTGGTCTTCAAGGATAAAAGATAATTTCATTGTTTGTCTCTGAGTGGGAGATTGTTAGTGAAGATAAACATTATCCCACCTCCATTATATGCATGTGAGAATACTTAATCTCCCACTTGACATATAATAGAGGCTTAATTGGTGGTATAAATCATGGCATGATTTATGCCCCATATCTCTCCAACCTTATCTATAAATAGACACATTAAAGAGTTGAGGTGCAGAGTGGAAACATAAAGTGAAAAACAAGAGAGAGAGAGAGAGCAATAAAGAGAGCTTGAGTGTAGAGTTGAGTTAGGTTGAGAAGAGTTTTTTCTTTTTTTTTTATTTGTTTTATTTCTTTAAGTAATTAATATAAATTATTAGCTTCGTGGAGTAGACAAGTTATCAAACTACATAAATTTATATATATTTAATTGCTTGAATGACCCAATAAAACATTTTTAAAGAGAATCAGGGGAGCCTTAAAATTACGAACACAAAGCCAGTGGAAGTATTATAGTCAACGAAAGATTCATGTCAGGATGGTTCTATTCAAAGTCGAGATTTCAGCTGCTTTACATAATAGAGATAGAGGGCATGAGCATCCTATTCTGATACTTTGTAGCTCTTGCATTAATATTCTATTTCACAGGTTTCATCCGACATGAGCGCATTGGATCTTGACGTTCCTTCGAGCCTTGGCCACTTGATCTCTACCACATCTGACCTCCTTGTGACAATAGCTGTAATGGCCTCTGTCAATTGGCCAGTACTTATTGTATCCATTCCAGCTGTTATGGCTGCAATATATGCTCAGGTAAACTCCATATCTTGTTGCCGCGTCTGCTTAAATTATTTATTTTCTACAATGACCGTAATGTTCTTACATGGTTTGTGTACATAGGAATATTATGTATCGACAGCAAGAGAATTAATCAGAATTAACGGAACGACTAAAGCACCTATTATGAACTGTGCAGCCGAGACATCTCTTGGGGTGATCACCATTAGAGCTTTTAACATTAAGGACATCTTTTTCAAAAACTATCTCAAGCTCATTGACACAGATGCAAGTCTTTCTTTTCATTCTAATGCTGCCGTGGAGTGGTTGATTTTACGTGTAGAGACACTGCAGAATCTGATTGTACTAACTGCTGCACTTTTAATTGTTCTGCTTCCTAGCAAAAACCTACCAGGTAATTGAAATCAATGTGCATTTTTTATTTTAGCTCATAACAAAGTGAGATCAATAAGAAGATTTTGTGATATTTTGAAGGGTTTGTGGGACTGTGTCTTTCTTATGCCCTATCTCTGAATAGTACCCAAGTGCTCATGACTCGCTGCTATTGCGAATTGTCAAACTATATTGTATCTGTTGAAAGGATCAAGCAATTCATGTGCATAGCCCCAGAACCTCCTGCAATTGTTGAAGGAATGAGACCGCCTTCTTCGTGGCCCGCTTATGGAAGAATAGAGTTGCATGATCTGAAGGTATGGAAGAACAAATTCAAATTCTTCGGTTTCTTACAGGAAAGACTAAACTCATATTCTCATTTTTCGGTTCCCTGGCAATGAAAGATACGATATCGGCCAAATGCTCCTCTAGTTCTCAAGGGAATCACTTGCACAATCATGGAAGGGACTAGAGTCGGAGTTGTCGGAAGAACCGGAAGTGGCAAGACTACATTAATCAGTGCTTTGTTTAGATTAGTAGAGCCAGAAAGCGGGAGAATTCACATAGATGGACTTGATATCTGCAATATGGGGCTGAAGGATTTAAGAACAAAGCTTAGTATAATTCCTCAAGAGCCAACTCTTTTCAAGGGAAGTGTTAGGTTTAACTTGGATCCGCTAGGACAGTACCCTGATAATGAAATATGGGAGGTAAGCTCAATTTTGTTCTAGTTCTTGTAATGTTCTATGTGAAACTAGATTCAGATTATCTGACAGAAAATATTTCTAAAACATAACACTGGTCCTTCAATTCAAGACTACAGAGAAATGCCAGCTTAAAGATACAATCAGCAGTCTTCCTAACCTTTTGGATTCACCAGGTAAACGTAGGAGAAACAACTTATCAGTTGCATTGCAACCCAAATCATTGTAAATCTCTCAAAATTACTAGTTCGATGGTTTTACTTGTCGGCAGTTAGTGATGAGGGGGAGAATTGGAGTATTGGGCAGCGTCAACTTCTCTGTCTCGGGAGAGTTCTGCTTAGAAGGAACAGAATTATGGTGTTAGATGAAGCAACTGCTTCAATTGACGCGGCCACAGATGTCATTTTGGAAGGAATCATAAGGCAAGAGTTCTCAGGATGCACTGTGATAACAATAGCTCACAGAGTCCCCACAGTGATAGACAGTAACATGGTCATGGTCCTCTCGGATGGTAATATTCCCAGCTTACATCCCTCCTTCAGCAGTAACGTGCATGTATACATGCCCGATATTGCATATAACGCAGAATTTAATGATTTCTGACAATGTTTCTTGGTCTTTGATGCTGGGTCTCCTGTACTTGTAGGGGAAATTGTGGAGTTTGACGTGCCTTCAAAGCTTATGGAAACAGACTCGTCCTTTTCTAAGCTCGTGGCTGAATACTGGTCCATTTGCAATAGAAACTCTCTGCAGAGTTCCCGCAGTCTTCAAAGAAATTCCCAGACAATCTAGCTTGTAGAAGTTCCGAACTTGATTATCGGAGGAAGAACTCGAAGGGAAAGGACCCGAGCACTAATATGCAGCTTAAGGCTTCTTCCCAGGCCTCAGCCATCTATCTAGGGACATGTTTTCCTCTGCAAGCAATGTTCTTGTATTCCTATGGTTTTTTTATCAGTTCCATGTAGACTGCTTCTCCTTCAGGAGCCGTTGATTAATTAATATGTTCCTTCCTTTTCTTTCATATTTTTTAAATTGTTAACTTCTTCTTCTTCTTCTTCTTCTTTTAAATAAGAATTAATCTTGTTAATTGTTTTTTTTGTAATTTCATAATACTTCAGAATTATTAAGGGAATAATTGCAATGCGTCATTAAGGGAATGCAGCTTTGTTGAAACTTGACTGACTTCTACAAGCAAATTCTTCTTGCATGTAAACTACAGATCGACTACCCATTCTGCTTTGTGAGCTGATATCTCCTCTGTGAACCAGGAACATTAAGGCATGGATGCTCCAATTCGGTAATCTCTGCTGAGATTTTCATTATCATTTTGGATGATCCAATTTGGTAATCTCTGCTAAGATATCCAGTATCAGTCCTGACTAAAGAAGTTGCTGCCCTGTGGAAGCAAAAGGATTTAATTACAATAGAATTGTCGAATCATTTGTAAAAATAATCTTCTTTCCTTGGATGTAAGCACGTAACTTCAAAGCAAGCAATCAAATTTCTAAATAGCTGCAATCATTTTTTCTCTTCAGTCCTGATAAATGCAACTTCGGTATAAAAAAACAAAGCATGACGCACAGCAGATACCAAAGAGTTGATCATTCTATAAGGTAACTTGCCTTGACTGATTATAACCCCATACTATTTACGAGAATAGATAATTCTGGTTTTATCCCTACGAACTCTGGGTGCTTCAAAGTCAGATCCTCATTAGTCTAGAGTCATCTCCAAACAGAGCATGAAATTTAATTAACCTCATGGTTGTTGTGCTTTAACACTTTCTTTTTTTAAAAAAAACAAACTTCAAGGTTGCAGAGCAGATCACTCACTAG